CATTACAATTAGGAACAGTTTGCTTTAGTCAGGGATCAGGCCCAGTGATTTATCTACTGGGTGGGCTCGGTGGGCGCCGCCCACTCGAAAATATACAGCAGCCATTCGTCTACTGGGTGGGCCGAATGGGCGCCGCCCACCCGAAATTTCGACTCGCTCACTCGGAAAACGAAATCTAGATAAAACACTGATCAGGCCTAGACCAAATTGAGCGGAACTATGAATGAAATCTTTGAACAAAAAGTTATCAGGACCCTCACTGGGGTTTTAAACCAATCTGATGAGCCCTGCCTGCGCATCTCTAGTAGTGAAGGACCGGTTTACTTCAATCTTTATATGATTTTCTATTAGGATGTATGTGTGTTATATATTTTAATTTCAAAGAAGTTTCCTCTTACAACTTTCTTTTTGTATTTTTGTTTGAAGTTCCTTATTTGGCATGCAAACCATTCGAACATTATCCTGAATCAAAAGTTTATCAATATTGTCAAGATTTTCAAGAATATAGAGATAAACAATTAAAAAATTCCTATAATAAAATTTATGAACAAACATATTTTCGTGGTAGTCATTATATTAAAAAATTTTTTAATTTTTTAATTGGTATAAAAGATTGGATTATGAATTTTTTGGATGATATTTATTATTCAATAAAAAAAACATATCATCGACAAGTTAATAAAGTTAAAGATCGTGTTGATGATGTTGTATCAACAACAAAAGATAATGCTAAAGAATATTGTGATGCTAGTTTAGAAAAAGTTAAAACTTTAGTTGATGAATTTAAACGTGAAAAAGATAAATTACTTGGTAGTCGACATGCATTAAAACCTGGACAAGAAAAAGAATTAGAAGGTGTAAGTAGAAAATTATTGACACAAAAAAAAAAGCAATTTTTATTAAGAAAATTGTTTTTGTTTTAGCTTATTCGACAGTTACTTGATGAATATGCTGCTGATGAAACTGGTCAAGCGGATTATGCACTTGAAGCTAATGGTAAGAAAATAAAAAAAACCAACGAAGAGAAAATGTTTCGTATTATTTTTTTTGTGTATCTTAGGTGGAAAAATTGTTGATACAAGATGTACTGAATATACTGATGAACCTCGACAAAATGTTGTGAAATTTCTTGGTATTCCGATAGTACATATGTCTAAACAACCAGATATAATGATAAAAGTTTGTTAATTTTGATGTTTGAATTTTTATTTGCTTTGTTATTTATAGGCTGGTCGAATGCCTGGTCAATGTTTTCCATTTAAAGGTGATCAAGGTAGTGTTATTATTAAATTAGCTGTACCCGTTAAACCAACTGAATTTGTACTTGAACATTTATCGAAAAGTATTTCAATTGTTGGACATATTAATAGTGCACCGAATAATTTTACTGTTTATGTAAGTAGAAATTTAAAATTATATTTTTATAGAATTGTAGAAGTTAATTTTAATTAATCCTAATAAAGAAACTTGTAAGAATAGTTGATAGATTCTATGTAATGTTCTAATAAAAAATTGTAAAAAAAGGATTCGGGTTTCTATTAACATGGCATTAAGTTATGGAATTTTATTCCAGACGTTATAGTATCTATAGGCATTAAATAATTGAAATAGATCCGTTGAAGAGATTCGCTCGTCAGTGATAGCAGTAAGAGCTTAAGCTCCCTCTCAAAAATCGATCTCAGCCCAGGAACATTCAAATGACATGAAAAAAACAGCTCTTTAGTATCTCCATGTTTTCTCTGTGGGTCTTCATTCTAGACATTTAATTTTTTTTTTGTTTGAAAGAGCATATCAGAATGCAGCGACTCTCGCGGCCCTTTTTTTTTAAAGTCTTACTTTTTAGGAGAAAAAACCGGAGCGAAAGTTCAATGACTCAAAAAATCTCTCTAAAAATTGCGCTGCTTCGATAGAGATGTTATCTTCTATGATAATAAAAAACTTATTTTAAAAAAAGGGCCACGAGAGTCGCTAGCCTTGCACATAAGCTTTCAAAAAAAAAATATTTGGCTTTATCTCTTACTATGATGGAGTTCTGCTGGAGATACGTCGTTGAACCCATGTTCTGAGAAAAACAAAAAATGATTTTCGGTTTTTTGTAAAAACGGCCTGTTTTTCGGAGTTATGACTAGTTTATTGCATTTTTGACTTATTCTTGTCTACTTGTCGTGACAGTCAAATCACTGAAGTTCGATCGAAAATTTCACCCATAGGTAAGACTCGTAGTAGATAAAATATCCTGAACAGAATGCATCGTTGTTGAGGTATGAAATGTTGAAAAAAAAAGTATGTCGAATGCGACCTGTGATGATTCCTTTGTATTAGAGATTATTAATGAAAAAGTTCTAAAACTTTATAGGAAGATTAATTTAATTTGATCGGTAAGATGAAAATATAATGAAATAATCAAAGTAAAAATTCAATATTGTAGTGAAGAGCTTTTAGTTAAACATGCTTATTGTTTGAAAGTATTTTGTTTTTGAATTTTTATACGAAAGATTTATTTTTGTTTTATTTTTAGGCTTTGAAAGATAAAAATGATAAAGAAGGTACAGTTTTGGGTCGATATTATTATGATGCAGAGAACGGTCCATCACTTCAACGATTTAAACCTCAAGTTTGTTTTATTTTTTTTTTGTTATATTATCAATAAAATAAATTTGTTTTGTATTTAGCTTCGTCATGTACCGACAATTGAATATATTGAACTTCGAGTAACATCAAATTGGGGAAATCCAAATTACACATGTGTATATCGATTTCGTGTTCATGGTGATTTGCCAGCGGTTCAACCATCAGCACCACCAGCACCGGCTGCATAATATGCATTATTTGTTGTTTTCTTCTTTTTTCCTCTTACAATAACAAAAAAAAAACAAAAAAAAAAAACCAAATTCTAAACATTATCGCGGTAATTCATATTGAATAAACGCATAATGAAAATTATCTTTTGTTTATTTCTAAAAAACGTCTAGCTTGTGTATTTAGAAAAAAAAACAGATTAAAAAGGTGTTTATGAACAATTAATGTAGACATTCTTTTTTTTCTTTTGTTTATTTGTATGTTTATGTGGTTATTCTATGTGTTGAATCACGCTTCTTTTCTTTTTCCTTTTTTGTGTAATTGTCGGTGTGCTTCTTTCATTTTTTTTTGTCAACTTATATGTTCGAAAATAAAAATCTAGAAATCTTTGCAAATAACCACGAAGAAAAAAATAAAATATGATTTCGTATTTAACAAAAGTAATAACAGTGACATTAGAATACTACAAAGAAAAAGCTCAAGAGAATTTTCTTTTTATACATTTGATAATCTGAAAAGTAGTACTTTATACTTCTATAATATCTCATCATTCTTCAGCTGATTTCATAGAAATAAAATTTCAATGAAAGCTGTTCAGCTTATAGTTCGACATGATAATCTCGATATATTTTACTCCTTTGTATTAAAACATGTCGTAAACTTTAATTATTTCTTTTCTCAGAAATATCTTGATATAAATCGAAAAAAAAACTAGACTGCATGAGTTCGAAAAATGTCAAAAAGCGATGGTATAAGACTTTTTTGTTATTTCGAAATCTCAGGCTTTCATAGAGAAACTAATAATGAATTACACTCATGTTCAGTCATTGTGACTCGGCCATCGAACTGATATTTTGTCAATAACTCGTTGCCAATGACACTAGTCGATGTCTATGAGAGTTCGCTTCCATGCATTGTTGTTCTTTAGCCATTTCAGTTTTACTAAATTTTTTATTTCTGGAAAGGTATGTACGAAAAATCAAAGTATGGAACTTTCACAGATACCTTTCGACTAGTGTTATTGGATCTTACTTATAAGTAAAGCATTAGTTCAATTGACAAATCACACTTGAGAACTCTTTCTCATTAACTGACAAATAAAATATCAATAATATTTTTCAGATTGAATCATCTATGACCATATAAAAGAACTCGCAGATTTTAATTATCATTTTCAGAATTTTCATAACCTCTTAGCAATCAAGTTTTTGAGAAAACGGATTTCAGGTGTGCACTCGTCACATTCTCAAGATTTTGAAAAATTTTTTCTCATTTCAAAATGGTAGTTGGACATGCAGAACGATTGAGTGGATTGAGCCTTAATCACTGCATCGAAAAGAAGAATGAACTAGTCATTGTAGCTGAGCTAATGAAAAGCAATCACTCGGCTACTGTACTTGGTCCAATAAATCAATTTTTCATTCAAAGACACAAAGTGCATTCAGAAAACGAAAAAATTTTGTCTCACATGACTCTGATTCTTCTCTATCTACTTATTGATATTATCACTTGCGTCTGCTTCAAGTCAACTGATTCTGTTGTAACCCATTATGGCCTTTGTTCGATACTTATGTTACTTGACTTCATGAACATACTCAGAAGCATATGTTCACTTATTTTGAATCGATGGACCTCACGATAAAGCTATATTACCTTATTTTCTGAGTCTGAAATCACGTAGTTTTAATTATTGAATGTGATAAATTTCATTTTACAGTGAATTTCATAAATTTCAAGAGCAAAGAAGAATATAAAAAACCTATTGATAAATGGATACAATTTTCTATATAAACAACCAGAATGTCTACTTCGAACCTCTAATGAAATGAAAACTAAATGAACATATGACTATATTTTTCTAGAAGCCCTGTTTGAATTATTACTATATAAAGAGAGAAAATTTTCTTTAATTTTCTAAATAGTATAATAATGCATCAAACAGATTATGCTCTCTAATGAACAGTCAATGATGACTTGTTTATTATAAGACCACTATTCGGATTGTCTAAACTATGTGTACATTGTGTTAGTAGTCGAATATAATTAGTTGAGAAGAGTCTCGCGCATCTGCCAAACGACTTCAACACTTAGTATAAAACATGTCGCTAAAAATAAGATTCACCCATGTAAGAGCTACTGAGAAACTAATACTAGTATACAAGATCAGCATAATGCATGCTATACCAGCGTTCTTTCTTGAAAGTGTGGTATCATGGTACATTGTTATTAAAACGGGTGAATATTTTTGAAATCTGATAAAATAGGCAGAATTGAGTCGACTTCAATGCACTCCAATAACGTTGAACCGTCTGTACTCTAACTGCATTGCCCCAATCGACTCCATTTATGAAATGAATTTTTATTAGTAAAATATATTCTGAAACTGTGCTTTTTTCGGTTAAGTTGAATTGAGGTAGAACATACTTTATGCACTGTTTTATAGTTAAAACCGAAAGTTGTAAATGCTACCACCGGTAAATTGCCGATAGTGCAAAGAAACATGTGAGATTGGTACGGTTCAGATTCGGATGCTAAAGTTTTGGATCGGACAATATCAAACATATAGGGTCATCTTTCAAAATTGATACGACTAAGAATAATGTGTAGGAATGTACCGAGATTTTAACTAATAGAAAAAGTATTGAAATTTACATCTGTAGATACTTGTCATGATGGTTCGAGTATACAAAAACTTCGAACTCTTGTATGATAAACGAAGTTAATAAAAAGCTTTAAGTTTTAAGCAAGATTGTTATAATGTTTTAAGTATGAGTACAATGAATTGTCAATTATTCGTAATCCTATGTTCAATAGAATACAGGTCGTAGTATGATAACTTAAAATATATTAAGTTAAATTATTTAGTGTCTTTTTTTTCATATTAGAATGAAATTTAAAATCAAAATTATCAAGGTAATACTCAAGATTTATTTATCTTTTCGGGAAATAATAAATCATTAGTAAATATTCATAAAAATGTCACAATTTTAAAAACAAAGATTTAATTAATAATGCTTTTACATAAACTAGGTCAACTTTTTTCTATCAACAGACGTGTACGTTGTGGAATACTTTTTATACATTTCATCGGCATTGGGTTGTTTTTAAACATCGGAATCATTTATCAATAATTTGTTTTTTTTTTTTTAAGTGATGTTTTGCTCATGATGATTCATAGAGATTTACACGTCTGTGTTCTGTCATCGTTATTACTAACTTGAAAGAATATAAAAAACAAGCTACACGTTGTGCAATAACAACGATGGCGATGATGACGACGATACAGAGAGAGAGAAATATAGATTTTTTTTCTCTCATTCTCTCTCTTTTTTTTTGTGAGGGGCAAACTTGCACAATACTTTGAAAAAAAATATTTCACTGTCTCCCGTGTAATATCTTGTGCATGTCTCTATTGTTTTTCATTATTTTATAAGTAGGCATTCATTTTCATATATTCGTCTAGATTATAATTCACCAAACGACATGAATCCATCGACTACGACTACATCTACTAATAAAGGTGGCTCAGGTCCATTGTATCGTATACCACCTTACCATTATATACATGTTTTGGATCAAAATACAAGTGTTACAAGACTTGAAGTTGGTCCTAAAACATTTATTAAACAAGACAATGAAACAGTTACTATCGGACCTGAAAAGATGATTACAGTACCGTACGTAAATCATTTCTAAATAAAGAAAAATAAGTAAATCAATACTTATTTTAAATTATTTCTAGACCACGTCATTATTGTGTGATTGAATCACCTGTAGTACGTAATGAAGCAGGAGAAGTACAATATGATCAAAATGGTCAAGCTAAACTTGTTCATGCTGATTTGGATATTCGTCTTGCACAACCTGATCAAGCACCATTCCCACTTTATCCTGGAGAAGTTCTTCGTCAAGTATGAAAAACAAAAAAAAAGAAAAATCGATATTTTTCTTATTTCTATTTTATTTGTTTGATCTTATTTTTAGCCAGTTACACCTTTAAAAGTTGTACCAGCTAATTCAGCATTACGCTTAAAAGCTGTACTTGATTTTGAAGATGAAACAACCAAAGAACAACGTCGTGCCGGTGATGAATGGTTATTTGAAGGACCTGGAACATATATTCCACGAAAAGAAGTTAGTGTAGAAGAACAAATTCGTGCAACTATAATTGGTCCTAATCAAGCTATTCGACTTAGTGCAAAAAAAGAAATCATTGATCGATCAGGACAACGACGTGTTACTGGTGAAGAATGGTTGGTTAAAAAAACTGGTGCCTATTTACCACTTGCCTATGTAAATAAAATCAAGTGTCTTTTTTTTTAGAAATTTTAATTTTTTTTCTTATTTATTAAATATTTTAGGAAACAGTGGTTTCTGTTGAAAATGCACATGTTTTAACAGATAAAAAAGCTCTTCATCTTCGTGCTCTTAAAACTTTTACTGATGATTTTGGTAAGAAACGTATGAATGGTGAAGAATGGCTTGTTACTCTTAACGATACTGAAACACATACACTTAGTGTTTATGAACAATTAGTTGCTATTGTTGATGTAATAACACTTAATTCACGTCAATATTGTGTTATTCTTGATCCAGTTGCTGCTGATGGAAAACCACAATTAGGAAAAAAGGTTTGTTTTATGAACTAAGATCTAAAACGAGTGTTGAAGTAGAAATTTGGGCTAATATACAGATATTGACGGACATCTTAGTAACATATGTCTGAAAATTGAGTTGAGACATTGGATAGTTTAAAAAATCAAACATATATTTTTGTGCCGTAACGGAGGCAGTGATGACTCAACCGATTGTCTTACAGTTCTAATACCAGATCTGTCTCAAAATAGATAAACAAAACCATTTTTCTATGGTTAAGTGTGTTTTTTATATTGGAATTTCTTTACTTTTTTGTTTTTAGAAACTTATTGTTGGTGAAAAATCATTCTTTCTTCAACCGGGTGAAAGACTTGAAAATGGTATTCAAGATGTTTATATATTAGGTGAAGATGAAGGTGTTATT